AGGAACCGCAGGTTCAGACATTTGGTACATGTGCCTGGTCGAGCGGCCAATGGTGCGAAGCTACAATCTGAGGGATTAAGACTGAACGCCTCTAAGTCTGAATCCCGTCCAGAGATGCGAAACGATACAGTTTGGCCTGCCACGTGGTTGGGCAGATATAGTACTTTCCGGTCAGGGTGCTGCCCTGGAGCATAGTTGGTACGCCTTGCCTTGTCGTGGCACTCCCCTTGACGGGTAGGGTCCACTTGTGGTCCCGATGGCTCAGCCGTACCCGGACTAATTGGCGGCCCCACTGGTCTTTGCCGGTGGTTACGCTAGCAATTACCAACGATTTCCTCTAACATTCAGAGCACTGGGTAGAAATCACATTGCGTTGTAGTGTAAACGGCAATTAAACTACAAATAAAAATAAATATCTAACTCTAAGTGGGGTATACTACATTTCTTACAAAAAAATAACAATAGCAAAATGAGTATAAGAAAACCGACAAAAGGTAAATAATTGTACAGGCTCACGATAAATAAAGCCCTCTCCACAATCGTTGGCCGTAGGTGGAATGTGCCGGGTAAAATACGAGACGAAGTCAGTGAATGAGGCTTGTCGCTCAGGTGAAATTACGTCCAGTTAAATTATAAATAAAGATATAAAAGTTTCGTGTCGATTGACTAAAAGCGATTGACGCAAATGGGTGCAATGAACGAAACAATGACACCAAGCAGCAGACGGACATAACAGTCATGCTTTTTCACATGTCGAAACCAGGTGTGAATTTAGTTGGTTTAAACAACAGTATAGAAACGTTTAGGTATACAAGAAGGTTAAGATTCAAAAATCGAAAATTTCCGTCAACCTATAGATTCGATGAGGCAATTCGGCATAAAGCACGAGATCATCTGCATATGCAATTCAGTCCACTCTTACTCCATCCAGCTCGAGGCCAAGCTGTCGATCAGAATAGGATATAGCTCCAGTTAGTGCACAGGAGAAGAGACTGGGTGAGAGGGGTTCACCTTGGCGGACGCCACGTACGCATCGGACCTCAGTGTCAAGTATATAGGTAGTAGTTCTGGAGTAGGAGAAATTTAGGGGATTAAGAATTAAAGGTCGCGCTCCGTGTACGGCGGCGCCTCGCAAGCCCGTGTCATGGTTCACGGAATCAAAGGCCTTCGCCAGATCTAAAACGGCCACAGCATTGGATCTTGGAACAGAGACCGCATGCCGTACCATTTCGTGAAGTGAAGCCGTCGCTTCGGCCTTCCCATCCCGCTTTTTGAAACCAAACTGGAAGCGGGCGGTATGACAGAGGCGTGACCACCATTGAGCACGAATACGGTTTAGTAAGCGATGAATATTGTTGAAGACTGATATAGCGCGGTACTCCGAAGGAAGATGAGGACGCTAAACCTTAGGGATGAACAGTATAGAAACGCTTAGGTATACAAGAAGGTTAAGATTAAAAAATCGAAAATTTCCGTCAAAATACAGAGTCGATGAGGCGATTCGGCATAAAGCACGAGATCATCTGCATATGCAATTCAGTCCACTCTTACTCCAGAGTGATATTGCGCGGTACTCCGAAGGAAGATGAGGACGCTGAACCTTGGGGATCAAGGCGGATCTGCAAAAGCAATGTTGGGTTGGGAGATGGCCAATCGCTAGAATCACATTCAAAAAACCAGCAAAGCCAGCCGGCGGACAGAGCAGCAGATATTGCGCAAACAGACCATCAATGCCCGATGAAGAACCCTGCATTAGGCAGAGATTTCGAGAAACCTCAGTCGGGCTCATAGGACGGAAGATATCCCAAGCAACATTATGTGGATTTGGAGTAGGCCGTTGGTCCGGATCCCTAAGGCTCTAAGTGAGCTCTCGCCAGAATTCCAGGATTCCGGCTCGTAAAGGTGGATCTGGACAAGGGGCAATGCGCCAGGCACCCGAAAAGACGAACTGGACTCCGTCCTTGTGAATCGAGCAAGACGAGCTAGCAGATCCGTATAATGAGCTCGGCGTTACCTGCGGCTGGAGGTGAGGCACACAGCTGCGACAGCCTGTCGGTTTCATCCCGGAATTCACCACTTCGAAAACAGAACAGAAGCATGCGAGCAAATAGCACAGCAGCCTAAGGTAACCTCACGCGGTTTACCCGGGCTTGGTTGAATTTCTTCACTTTGACATTCAGAGCACTGGGCAGAAATCACATTGCGTCAAAACCGATCAGCAGACATCGC